TATAATGCTCTATGTATAGGGATATTACCTCATGATAATCCGACATTGTTGCTTCTTTGCAACACAATAATCTTATACTGTTGGTAGCACCTTTCTGTTTGTACCTGCATCTTTGATGTGCTTATATTGCCTTTTTGACAGCTCTTTGATTGCAAACTTATTTCCTGGCAGATTATGGTCCTGATCGGGTGCACAAAATTCAGTGTACTCTGGCGCATTCACAGCGATATGCAGCACATGGTCTCGACATGCTGGCACACGCCGAACTGTTGTACACCCAGCTTCGGAGTGATATACGGTCTGACCGTGTACCAGAGCCTCTCCTCGAGGGGACCATTCAGTGGGCCGAACAGATGGCTGCGTACGCAGAAGTTCTGGACGATTACAGCGATGAGGTGCATGAGTCTGCATTATACCTGATTCGCTTTGAGTTGGAAGGTCCCATGCTTGCAAGGCACGATCAGTTGGTAACCGTGGCAGACCAGTTACTAGGAGAGCAGAGGAACATGAGAGCGCGGGTCAGATGGGCACGGGAATACATTGAGCAGCGGCAGGCATGGTACCAGGAGAGCCTCAAGTTTCTGCATCTGGACTTTTACAATGGAGAAGCGCAGCAGCAAGCCAACAGTGCCCAAGATGTGGAGGCGCAAGCTGTTGAGGATCAAGTGAATGTGCAGGGGAACGCTGTGGAGAAGCAGAATCTTGAGGATTAGGAATAGGGGATGCCTTGTCTTGGGTTGTGTCATTGGGATCTCTCCTGACTGTATCATCAGGTTGAGCAAGATATATGTATAATAGAATACGAACTTCCTCGACTGTAGCATGCGGGTTCTTATGTTCCTCTTTGCTATTGGCTTGGTTTTGTTTGGTTGGTTGGCTGAAACCAACACCAACACCATGCATTTTCTGTGCCAAGAGTTGATAAACAATCTGATGACAGTTTTGTGTGGCAAGCAGGTTCGTGTGGATAGGCAGGCTGTTATCTCTTGCGTGCTGATCCTTCTTTTACGGCATCCCATACATTTTACTTGCTTATTTGTGCACATCTCGCTTAGAGGTGGTGGTCATACACGTTGAGAAGGCTGTCCCTCACTCGCCTTGAATTAGTGCACGTTGCGGCTGTCTAGGGGGTGATTGTCTCTCGGCGATGCCGCCTGGCCACCGCCCTGCCAAGCGTCGCCCTCTCTCGGCGATGCCGCCTGGCCACCGTCTTGCCAAGCGTCGCCCTCACTCCCAGATTGAGGACAAGCAGTGGCGCAACGGCGCACGAGAGGGCATAGCACCCTTTGGCTCCCGCATGTATTATTTAAAATAATTATTAAACAAAAGTCAAAATAGTTCAAAAGTATTTTAGATTAAATTGACATATTTGTGCACTAGTATATAAATTTTCACAAAAAAAAACCAACGTGCCAAAAAGACAAAATTTATTTGCTATTATAGGTCACTATTCACCCTATTTTGACCGAAAATTTGTCTTTTTTTGGAAAATAAGTCAAAGAGGAGTATTCTTTTTGTGAAACTTTTCTCACCAGTACAATGAAAGGTCAAGTTTATTTCAAAAATATTTTCAGAATTTTTTAACTTTTTGTTGAATTGCTAAAAAGAATTCCATATAGGGTACATATGTACCCGGGAACCAAACGGTCCCCTCCAGCACCAGCAGCAGTATATATAGAGGAAAACATAGGAAAAACGAACCTCGGTTAGTCGGGGTTTTCCTCCCCTCCTCCACAAGGGCGAATTGTCCTTGCATGAGCGACACAGAGCGCAAAGTTTGACCTCCACCAACACAATGACCAGCGGGGTCCACCTCCAGATCGCTAAGAGGGCATCTCCAACACCAACTTCTTCATTCCTCTACCAACAAAATATTTGGAGTTTGACAACTAGTTGACGCCGGTTGATACTCGAATGCATATATCGCACGTAGATACTTGCTTTTCTAATGATGAGGTAGACACTTTCGCATGTTAAGGTTTTCACTTCAAACCATCCAGATGTACACTTTAATTTCTCGTTGTTGACACGGTTTGCACTTGACTTCATTCAAACTGACATTTATGTATCTATCTAGGCGTGTTGGCACTTAACCACCCTTGAAATGCTACAAGCCCTCCAGCGCGCAATCTAAGAGGAGGTTTGCAGGGGTCCGCACATTGGCCACGTACGCATTGGTCCCACTCAAACCATCTCCGCATGAAACGGGTGTCGCACATTCATGTCGGTCAAGCCGCTCCAGAGCGGATGTGACTTGGCGACATTGATGCAGTTCAAAGTGACGCGACCGGACGAGTGAGTGATGCCTCTTTAACATCGATGCGACAACCAAGAAGTCTACTTCAGCCGGTGCGCCATTGAAGCCGACTTCCCGTCCACTCGCTTGGCGGGCTATTTAAGCACAGATCCAGCACCATCCACATCATATCTCCTATCCTTTCCTCTCCGCTCACCGTTGCTCCCTTTCTCTTAGCTCACCGCCGTCATAGCTCCTTTCTTCTCCGCGACGATGACCAAGTCCTGGTTCTTCGTGCCGGTGGTTGGCTCTAGATTTTCTTTCAAATACGGATCATGGCACCGCTGCCATAGCTCTCCGGGGCCAGGGTTCTCCATAAAAGGAGGAGATCATCCTCTCCTCTAATGAGGAGCAGCAACTGCACTTCCTTGCGGGGGACCATCGCGAAGGAGGAGTACCAGCCGCACCTGGCGCTCGTCATTGGGCGGTCGCTCAAGGATCACGGTCTGGAGCCGCCTCTCCACCGTCTCGAGGTGGATCTGGCATCACTGCCTCTCTGGCGCGTCAAGCAGGAGCCTCCCTCCCCCAACGCAACCGCGACGTCCAAATTGGACGACGTGTGAAGGGTGAGGCGACGTTGCCGCCGCACAACCGGTACGACCGCATCAACCAGCCGACGTCACCATCAAGCCGCGTCTGGTGAGACAAGGCCGTGAAGGAGGTGTTAGAAATAATGGGCCTGACTCATTAACAAATTCCGAAATCTTAAATAGTGGCCCATGAATGAAATAGCAAGTGGTGGCTCTAAGTTTAGTCCCACCCAAAAGTTGAGAAAGAGTTGGACCTTTTTATATAGTGGGTCCTCTCCATCACTCTAAGTGGTGTATTGATAAAAGAAAGGGAAAAATACACGCGCTCACTCGGCTCGCCTGGCCGGGCTCGGGTCAGGACGCGCGTACGCGCGTGAATGCTCCGCCGAAATTCGGTATGTTGCCTTATAAGGGCGCAACTTCCTTTTGCCGTTTTATTTTTTATGCCTCGGCAGACAAATTAATTATTTTTTGTCCGGTAAGTATACGACTTAGAAACCAAACCGTTTGTCTTTGGGATCCTGCACCGGGAGATGGCGAATTAGGTTTTTGGAAAGCACTCTGCGCGACTGCTCAAGTTCGTCACCACGGGCCGTCTTCCGTCGAAGTGACTAAGTCGGGCGGTGCTACTCATCATCGTCAACAACATATCATCGCCAACATCGTCATCAATACCGTCGCTCCTACAGCAACTAACAAACAATGTGTCCTTCGTGATCTGTTCATGTCTCTCTGTGAAGTTGTTGTGTCATGTGAGATGTTGCTCTGCATGTTTCGTTGTTCATCTAGTTTGCTAGATCGTTGCATGCTAGTCTCTGTTCTAGTCATGAATTATTTAATGGAATTAATCATGAATTTTCTTAATATTCCAACAGGAGGAGGTGCCCACCGCGAAGGTGCGCGGGCGCCTCCTCCACTATCTTTGTCGTCACGGCGGCGACTCGTCGTTGCGGAGCACAACACTGGCGGACGAGGGGGCGGCCAGGGAGCCCGCGCAGAGGGTGCGGCATCCGCGAAGTCCGACGTCGCGCCGGCCTGGGTTCGCGCGGACCCGACCTAGCTGAGGCATGGGATAAGACCGGTCCGTCACCACCGCGGAGACCTCCGTGCGACGCTTGCATGCCTCAACGGGAGCTCACCAAGATCGAGGAGGAATCGTCGTTGAGCGACACCGCCTCGCTACCGACAAGGGAAAGGACAGGGCTCCCCGGTCAGGGTTGGCGTTGGCCGAAGTGGACCTGCACAAGGCGCGGGAGGAAGCCGAGCGGCTCCCCCATGAGCGCCAGGCGGCGACCGGGCAAGGCTGTCGCGCCCCCGCGCTCTTCCGCCATTGGAAAGGCCTCGATGCCAACTCTCACTCCGACGATGGCATGGACGGCGGCGGAGGTCCCGCCGGCAGGCATACGAGGTCACCGCCCGGTACAAATTAGTTTAGGTTTTTTGTAATTTTTAGTTGAACGGACAAAATATCGTTCAGTTCATGTAAATTATGTCAAATTTTATGTATGTTGCATGGATACGTCTGCCTTAGGGTTTTTATGTTTTAGTTCAACAGACGAATTACTCTCCGGTTCATGTAAATCATATTGTATTTTATGTATGTCTACATGATATTTGTTCGGCTAGTTTAATTTTTATTTGTATTGGAGACGGAGGTTTGTGGTAAAAAAATGTTTGTATTGCAGACGGAGGTTTGGGGTAATTTTTGTTTGTATCACGGACAGAGGTTTGGGGCAAGTGTTAGGCCTTGAACAATGCTAGGGCTTAAACTGGTGCTTAGAAAAATAAATCGGGTTTTTCTGAAGCACCGGTGCCTATTTCTACCGAAGAGGTCCCTAATTAAGCGTCAGCCCTGTACAAATAAGCACCGGTGCTTAAGGAAAGCCTGGTTTATTTCTCCAAGCACCTCCATGTCTATGTCCCCATTAATCTTAGGGATTTCACAACAAAAACAAGGTACAAGCATTTGCCACGAATAACACATCCCAAACTTTCATTTGCCAAAATACTTCACACTAATGTCAAGAGTTACTCCTTATCCTCCTCGGCCCAGTACAATCTCGAAACAGAAATAATTTAAAAGGTTGACCAGGGAGAATTAATCTATGCATACAACAACTCCTGTCAACTGCAGCTTGCAACCCCTCAAAAAAAAAAAAACCGCAGCTTGCAGCTCATGACCAGTAATTGGGCCAAGTAAAAATTTCCCCTAAACTTGGGAACTGAATCCGGACGAGCGAAGACAGCATCCCCTTTCTGAGTTTGTAGCTAAGCAACGACTTCTCCTTCAACGTCCAGTCCTGGAGCATGTGCTTGCAATTCTCACACACTGGACTCTTATAAAGTTTTATGTCCTCGAGATTCACCGCTGCTTCCATGACATTCCTGGCAAAGCGCACGATTTTTTCTTCTGCTTCAAACCTCCCATAGATTCTGAGCTCGGCAAGGTTGTGGTGCTTGAAATCAGATGCAGATGGTTCCCACTCTAGTCCCTTGTCCTTCTCCTCGCTAAAGGCATACTTTTTTCTCTGCTCCCCAGTTACCATTTCACATAAATGGTCCCGCACCTGCATTTGGTCAGGTCAAAAATTCTTAACTGGACACAGCAAGTTTGAACTTCGAAATGACATCATAAAAACGAGAATTGAATAATCGGCACAAGAGTTCACCAAGATGCGTAGTTCCTTAAGGGTGGGTGCACCTTGAAGTATGAACATTATCCAAGTCAGATCGCATTCTTCAGAAATGTTAATCAGATTCACAAGCCTTAGCTTGTGTAACACTGGTAACAATTGTCTTCGACCTTCCGGCTTGACCCAAATCTGCACAAGAGTGGGCAAACGCAGAACTATGTTAACCAAAAAGAATGATTATAACCTCCACCCACCACAGACACCAAAACTTACGCACATCACTGACAACATTGAGAACCTTCACTAACCTTTTCACTTTTGAAGTTCAAATGCAGGTTGCTTATGGCGGTTTCACCCAGCAACTCACTTATCTTGAGCATCTTGTGCCAAGAAAAACCAGTATTAATGATGCTCACAGTCTGGAGAAGTGGGACATAGCCAAGACAGAAGGGGTCATCTTGAGATCGAAACATATTAAATTTCAGTACTGTGAGTTTTGGTACCCACTTCAGATCAACCCTCTTAATAAGCACGCTACGGCCAATCACCAGTTCACTGAGTTGTGAGTGTTCCACTTCCAGCAAAGACTCAATGCCCATATCACAGTGGTAGAGGCAGAGGACCTCGAGTTGCTTGCATATACTGAAAATTTTGGGAAAGTCTGATTCTCCTAACCTCAAATTCTCTAGCGTGAGGCGTGCAAGACCACCAAATGTGTTTGGACACGAACCAAGGAATGACATGAACTGCCTCCCATGAGTGAGCAGGTCATTATTGGTAAAATTTGTGCGCACCTTCGTCAAGATTGTAAACTCAACTGAAGCAACCTTGTGTGTTGCTATGGTGTTGGCAACAGTCTGACCAATGAAAATGGACTCATCTCCCAAGTAGAATTGCATGCGCAACAGGTGAATGGTGTGTGGACTTGCAGCCCTCTTTTCCAGTATGCTCCTGGTTGCTTGCAGCACGTTGGTATTGGCCCGAACTATATCATCTGAGGTTAACTTCCTACCTTCATGCTTGGGTTGAAAAGAAGCAACCTTTATAACAATCTTTGAGAGTAAAGCAGGGATCTGCTTCCAACGTCTGGAGAGGATGGTGGTTTGTGCAGCATCAGCGATATCAAGTCGCTCCACAATGTTGAGCAAAACGTCATCCGGCAACTTACTGAGCCTGTCAACTTGATTGTCCTCCTACATTTGATATGGAAACAAATCACAGTTGATTTCTTATATTAGTCTCATCACAGGTGCAGTTTTAATATTCTCCACAAACATAGACACAATTTTCATACTTCCCACAGAAAGACGCAATTTTGATTGTACAACTTTTATACTTACCCACAGAAGGATGCAATTTTGATTATACAGTTTTTATACTTTCCACAGAAAAAAGCCTGCAAATTTGATTATATACTTTCAAGGGACTGATGCAATTTTGATATTTCCCCACCGAAAAGGTTAAATTCGACCACGAATTCTGATTATGCCCTGACTTTGTAAGAGCTATACCTAAAGGAGAAAAGGAACAGGAGGACAAACTCACCACCATATCGAGGGAGGATTTGTCGAGGCCGTCCACGGATGGTTTGGCCATCGCTCGCCGAAGGGAGTTGATCGTATCCTCTTAAAACTGGCGGGTACCACGGTTGCCGCCAGGCCAGATTTATAGCGGCCACGTTCCTGCCACCGATGGCAGCTCGGAGATTTAATTAAAACTGAAACAGGACCTGTTTCTGATTGCAGCCCGGGAAGGACTGCTTTGATTCCGAATTGCCGCTAAAAAAAGGAGCCGCTTCGATTGCGGACTGCGACTCGGATTGATTCCTTCGGACGGCAGCTCGAAAAGGAGCTGCTGCTGCTGCTGCTTTCATTGGGAAAAAAAGGCCCCAGCCACACCCCCAAGACGTTGTTTTGCGTCGGATTTGAGAAAAATAGCCCTAGCGACCTGCGGCGAAACCCAGCCCATCAGGGGGCACGACCGCTGGCGTTAATTTTTGCATGGCAAAACCCCACCAGTCAGCCCCTCTCTCTCTCCTTCTTTTCCTGCTAGGCCCACCCGTGTATGTGCATGTAAAAAGGGATCTTTTCCTCCTGCTGCATCTCTGCTCCTCGTCCCTGGCCGAGCTCGCACAGCCCCGTCTCCTCCGCCCCGCTCCGCTTCCCTCGCTGCCCCGCCTCCTCCGCCCCGCCCGCCCCACCGAGCTCGCCGCCCCGCCTGCTCCGCCCCGCCTGATAGGCCGTCGCAGGAGGCGACGGGCTCAAAGGCGAGGCTCTCGTTGAAGCAGAGCACGGAGGGCTCGTCGGGGGGCACGGGCTGGACGACGCGTGCGGGGCAGTCGGCGTCGTTGTCCTCGACCTTGTAGGAGACGCCGTGGAGCAGGGACGGGTCGTAGCCAGAGGTGGCGGTGGCGCGCTGCGCTAGCAGGTGGCAGAAGCCACGATCGAGGATGGCGCGGCGCAGCGGCTTGGCGGCCGCCACGCAGCGCGCGACGGAGATGGTGTCGGAGACGGAGGGCGACGACGTCCTTGGACATTGTTTTCCTTCTTGAAGGTGTCTCAAAAGAGTTTGCTCATCTGCAGATTGTGGGCATGTTGGTGGTGGAATTTCCAGTTGGCCGATGCAGACATTACTGGTGACCCCGAGGAGGAGATGACCATCCGACTTATGCTCCGCCGCTCATGGGAGGAGGCCGCCCGACAGCAGCGCTCGAACTCCTTCCGCCGGGAATCCATTGCATCCACCCAAATGGCACATGGATCCGCCGTGAGGTGTGGCACCGCTGCCTCACCGGAGGTGGTGCGGTTCGTCTAGCGTCCGAACACGGTGGCGGACGTGCAACCCTCCGTTGGCGCGCTGAGGCGAAGGTGAACACAGCATGGACATCGGTCGACGCAAACATGGTGTGACGTGGCTGCTATGCGAGGCAGCGGGCGCAGAAGGATGCGGAAGACCTTGCAGCGGTGGACGTTTGAGAGGTGGAGTCGCATTCTCCGTCGCCTCGTATGGTGCATCAGTCCGGGCGCCGCAACCGCGTCGTGGTGGATTTCGCCGGATCGTCCTAGGACGGATCCATCATCGATCTGACGTCCACCGGCACCATCAGGATTCCGTTCTCCGATGAGGAAAAGTAGGGCATGGGAGACGGTGATACCCAGCCCATGTCCCATGTCCTACTCTACCTCGCCGGCGACCTCACCAACACTCAGAGGAGCGCAGCTGGCCGTTGGACATGGACACGGTGGAGCCGGACGAGCTCCGCTTAAAATCAGCTCACGTTGCATGTAATAAAATGGATTTGAGGTTTCTAATTTGAGATATCCGGTTATAGAATGAAACATCTGATGCATGATCGGTCACTGTCCGCGGACACGCCCCGGGCGCGCCCGCCGGCGTTTGACAGGTCAGATTTGCCAAGTCCGGCTGTAGATGCTCTGTTCGTGATGGAATTGTGATATCAGCACAGTAACTTGGAAGCCTCAGCTGTGTCGTGTTGTATAGTGGCATTCTTTTTGTATATGTTATTTTTCTTTTGTGAAGTTTCTTAAGCATTAGAGAGAAGTCCACATTTCAACCTCGAACTAACCGCCCGGTTTAATTTACAACCCTGAACTTTGAAACCGGTCGAATTACACCCCGAACTAACCACAAAGTCCAAAACTCAACCCTGGTCTTGGTTTTGCTTCAGTCAAGTGGTTTTGACCTCAGTCAATGCTGACTGGGCTGCGCCACATCAGCAGCTAGGGTTGGGATGAGAAAAAAACGGCTTGTTCTCCGGTTCGTTCTCACGCGACAACATGCACCACCTTGCCGGCCGGCCCCGCCGCCCTGCCTTCGTCCGCTGCGGTGACAGGTGACCCCGGCGCTGCACCTCCGCCACCGTCTCTCCTGCCCCCACTTTTATCTCTCTTCCCTCACCCATCTTGCCTTGCAGCACCAACAAACAACAACAGCTAGCAATTAGCGGCGGGCGCCGGGCAGCCATTAGAAGCTGGTGCGGCATGCATACAGAAGACGAGAGGAGTGCGCGAGGGTCAATGAGGAACTCGCCGGCTAGGAGAAGAGGAGATCGTGGCCATGGAGAGGAGGGCTCATAACTGTCGCGATTGGGGCGTCAACTAGCAGTGGCAGCCGTCGTGGAGTTCCCCAGCTTCCAGATCTCGACATAAGGATTGGCCCCTGTGGCCTTCGACGGCCAGCGGCAACCTCCTCGGCGGACGGAGTTGCAGCATGCAGCGGAGGCAACATGGGGCAGCAGATGTCGCCGGAGAGCTGTAGGAACAGGTGCCGGTGGTCGGAATCCATGCAGCGGCCGGTGGCAGGGCTCGGGTAGCGACGCACGAGGTGGCTGGAGCTGGCCCGACGGTGGTCGTCAGCCGCGTCCAGCGGCGGACGGAGGTGCATGGGGCAGCGGCCGTCGGCGATGGTGCTTGAGCTCTCTCTCTCTCTCTCTCTCTCTCTCTCGGCGGCGCGTCATGGGGGAGTGGAGAGGAGATGAGGGGATTGGATGGGATTACAGGTGGGTTGCTGTCTTTTGTTTTCAAGAGAACAGGTGGGTTGCTCTCGTGAGAGAACGAGCAGAGTGATATCGAACCCGTGTTTTTAACTCCTCCTAGCCCTAGCTGTTGATATGGTGATGCCAAATCAGGATTGACTGTGTTCAAAACCGCTTGACTGAAGCAAAACCAAAACCAGGGTTGAGTTTTGGACCTTATGGTTAGTTCGGGGTGTATTTCGACTGGTTTCGAAGTTCAAGGTTGTAAATTAAACTGGGTGGTTAGTTTGAGGTTGAAATGTGGACTTCTCTCTAAGCATTATGAAGTGATTTGGGCCAGAAGAATACGATGGGTCGTGTTGCACATCCAAATTATACTGGTTGAGAATCGGCTAGGAGATAAAAATATATGTACACGAGGATAGAGGTCACACTAGAGATGTTTTGCAAGAACCCCCGACTATCAAGCGCCAGAGGCGACGCCATGGCACAGACCTACTAGGAGGGTGTGTATGATGTCTACCGGTGGAGGGAGATAATGAGTGACAGGTGAATTCTTTTGTTTGCACACTGCAGCCACGTACCCAAGAGCTAAGTTGAACTCGTTTGACAAATATTGCTTAGTCTTTTAGTGAATTATTAAGAGCATATGAACTCATGTTGTTGATGCGGCTATGGCGGAAGTTTTTGCATTGAGAGAAGGTCTCCTTCTAGCATAACATGTGGTAAACTTCCTTCACTATTTGGTTAATCTAGCTAAAGATAATCCCTATCCCATTCTTATAGGTGGGGATTTCAATTTAATTCGATTTCCAAATGAGAAAAGCCATGGTAGGTTTGATAATCACTGGTCTTTCCTTTTTAACAATGTCATCGACAGTCTAGATCTGCGAGAGGTTTTCATGATTGGAAGATAATTCACTTGGGCGAACAGTCTTCCAGAACTGACATATGAGAAACTAGACCGCGTATTAATGGATACTGACTGGGAATCTAAATTTCCTATGGTGTCTGTCCGTGCTCTACTATCGAGGCGATATCAGACCACACACCCATTCTCCTAACTACTAGTTTACCACGACCATAACATAGACGCAAGTTCAAGTTTGAACTTGGGTGGTTGCTTCAGGATGGCTTCCATGACATGGTGAAGGAGGTGTGGGAGAAACCGGTGACTGGGCCTACCCCAATACACAAATGGAATAACAAAATGCGTGCATTGCGTAAATTTCTTGATGGTTGGGCTAGGTATACGGTGGGTATACTCTAAAAGGAGAAGCTTCGTCTTTCATCTACCATTGATGAATATAATCTTTGGTAGAGGTGAGACCTCTATCCGAGCATGAAATCGAGCTCAAGAGTCATTCGAATGCAAAGATAGCTAACATATTGCATGAAGAGGAACTCAAATGGTACCAACATTCTAACTCTCAGTTTATCATGAAAGGTGATTCGAATACTAGATATGTCCATCGAGTCGCCAATGGCAAACACCGGAAGAAAATTATTCATTCCCTACAATAGGATGAGAGCACGATTGAGGGACATGAGCAACTTAGATCTTATATCACTAATTATTATAGAAATTTGTTCGGAGCCCTAGAGGAAGGAAACTTCTCGATGAATGACCCGAACAGATGACATCCCCCAGGTCTCTAATGAGGGAAATAGCCTTCTAACAGCTCCATACTCCGAGGAGGAAGTTAGAAAGGCAGTTTTCCTAATGGAGCATAACAAAGCCCCGGGTCCGGATAATTTTCCCGCAGAGTTCTATCAGAACTTATGGGAAGTCATCAGACCAGATCTCCTACTTTTGTTTAGCGACCTACATGTTGGCCACCTAGAATTGTTTCGCTTAAACTTCAGTAAGATTATTTTACTATCTAAGGTTAATGAGGCTGAAAGGATACAACAATATAGACCTATTTAAAATGCCTCCTTAATGCTAGTTTTAAAATATTCACAAAGGTTGCAACAATGAGGCTAAATTCGGTTGTTGAACATGTGGTTCGTCTTTCACAGACAACTTTTATGCAAGGCAGACACATCATAGATGAAGTTGTTATCCTTCATGAAACAGTCCATGAATTACACCGGAAAA